TTAGTAAGGGTGACAGGAATGGATGTAAATAATGGAGAATGGGAAAAGGATGGAAAGATGTTTTATTTTGAAATGAAATGATTATATATGTATATATACGTTAATCTTTAAGTTCAACTGAACACTAAAAATGGCAGAGTTACAATGTGAAAGAGAAGATACAGTGTCAACAAATGAATGAAGCATTAAAAAGTAGAGAAGTACTCAACGTCCACAAAAATCCTTAATATATATATATATAAAAATAAATAAAACAATAGCATTTTATCTTTTACTATTCCAAAAATAGTGGTTAGAATTCAAATGATATCATTTGAAATGTCTTTATACAGTTCTCTATGTTTTAAGTAATGAAAATGTTAGGTTTCTTGCTTTGTTACAACATGAACATGTTACGACGGGTTTATAAACTAGTAATTAGACAGCATGTCTGTGGTGTCAGCCATCCCATGTTACGACGGGTTTATAAACTAGTAATTAGACAGCATGTCTGTGGTGTCTGCCATATAAAAGTACCAAGAAATGAACACAAGTGATAAACGGATATATGTTAAAGTAAAAGAAAAGCTCTTCAATATGGAAAACTTTAAAAGTTTAATCAAACAACTACTATGTTACACGAACATAAAGCAGGCAACCAGAATAACATTTTCTATAGAGACTGTATGGTAAGGGCAAGCCCTTGAAAATGGATATTTTGACCAGTATATGTATCTTTCATTGGTGTTTTAATACAGTACCACATCATTTACATTTGCAACCAGTAAAATATGCCATATTAATTAAGTAAATAAGCTCTATATCATTAATAAATAAACTTCCAGTTCAAGAGAAAGGACAAAAGATTTGATTTAACTTTTTAACTTTTTTTCTAATTATTTTAGTAACTGGTAATAAAAACAAGTTCATGTTTGTATCACAAAGTTCACAGTTCAATGTCAAAAATCTAGATTAAAATAAATGTAGATTTTAAAAAGTATGCCACAGACAGCATTATAATAGCTACAAATTACAAAATCTGACGAAACATTAATATCATTAGTACAGCTTACTACCGAGAGAAGTGTCAGCATGGTTCAACTTTTAACAAAAATCTCTGCTACATTAAACTACTGTTAAGAGTGTCTCACAATAAAGTTATTGGTTATAATACTGCCAGATAAACAACTGCTTCTGAAATGTATACACGATGCACACTTGTATACTTAACTTAGTACAGAACACGGATGGTTT